TTTCCTGGAACTCGCTTTGGAGACCAGGCTGGCCTCGAACTCACAGAGATCCGCCTGCCTCTGCCTCCCGAGTGCTGGGATTAAAGGCGTGCGCCACCACAGCCCGGCTTCTCTGCCAAATTTTAAAGTACAAGATACAGGCGAAAATCTATAAAGCAGCACATTTTGACATGCAAAAAAACCCTACATCTCAAGCCCATCACCCAATAATATAAAAACAAAAAAAGCTAGGAATGTTGGCCCTCCTTTCATCCCAGGATGTGGGGGCCGGAATCAGTGGGATCTCTGAGTTTGATGCTAGCCTAATGTTCAAAGCTCATTTCACAACAGTCAGGGCTACACAGAAAAATCTTGTCTTCATAAACACCAACAAAAAAATTAAAAGAGCATGCTACCAAACTGCCTTATCACTCAATTACAATTGCTTCTACTCAATCTTATGTGATTTTGAGATAGAGTCTATAATTTGGTGAAGGCATGACGGAACAGGAAGAAAGTTGGCTTATTAATTTCAACATAACACAGTATACAGAACAAACAGGAAATGTGTTGAGATTATAGAGATGCATATGACATGTATACTGAGGTATTTCATCCAGAAAGTTGCCAATTACTCAGGGTTTCAAAAGCATTTTAAAGAAATCATCAAGGAGAAATGTGTGTCCAAATTAAGTACCTTATCTGGGAGGTTTTTCAATCAATTACATTGTGAAACAAGTCATTAAGGCCATGAAGAAAATGCATTTATTCACTTCAGTGATCCTCATACTCTGCAACAGCCCTTACATTGTTCAAATGTCCAAAGTCTCTTCTGATACTCAAGATGATCTCTTTATGGTGACATCATGTAAAATTAGTTGAGTTACATCTTTTGAACATACAATGGCACACATTCCCATTCACATTCCAAAACAGTGAAATGGAGACACAGTGAGGGAAGGTTGAACCAAGAAAAGACTGAAGCACAGCAAAACAAACAACAAATCCTTTATCTCTGTCTCAGATGCAAGGGGCTTCTTTTTCAAAGGGCTTAGATGACCCTTTCCCTCTAACTTCCCATAAATCTCTCTCTCTGGTTACTTCTACTCCCTATATGCAGCTAGGTCTACATGGAAGATGTCTTATAGCTTTCGTATCTCAACATCTTGTGGTGACAAAATGCTACCCAGGTGTGTGGAATATTATTTTAAGATGTGTTATATTTGTGTATGCTGTAGAACATTTGTTTTAATGATGCAAAGATGTGTTGCAATTTTTTATGTTGCATTTGTTCAACTCTGTGAAGCTGTGATACATTTCCTGTCTAAAATTGATCTAATAAAAAAGATGAATAGAAAATAGCTCAGCAGAAAAAAACAGGCAAGGCTGACAGTCAGAGACAATAAATAGGAGAAGAAATCTGGGGGTAAAAAAAGGAAGAAGTAGCAACAACAAAAAAGAGGACACCAGGGGACAGCCATTCATCTACACAGCAAGCAATGGAGTAAGAAGTAAAGAAAGGTATACATAATAGAGAAAGATAAAAGTACAGAGCCAGGGTTTGGGATTTAGATCACTGGTAGAGTGCTTGCCTAGCAAGCAAAAGGACCTGGGTTCGGTCCTCAGCTAAAAGAAAAAGGGCAGAGCCAAAAGCTAGTTGGGATCATTTAAGGTGAGAAAAGCTGGCTAGAAGAGAGCCAAGTTAAGGCCAGGCAATTATAAGAAATATTAAGCCTTTGTGTGTGTGATTTATTTTAGAACAGGAGAGCAGCTAATCAAAAGAGTAAAGAGTTAGAAAAGAATAAAAAACACCAGGATTCATCCTCACAACTTCATGCAGTGAACCCTCCCAATTCCACCCTTGGTTTCTGTCTCTGCCAATCATAGATGCCTTCAAAAATGCTGAACTGTAAACAGAGGTTAAGAATCCATGATTTTAAATTTTGATTCTCTCTTGTTTCCAGGACAAGCAGAATATATGGTATCCTGCAAACTTTGACTTCTTAATTGGGATGGACACTAACATGCTTGGACCACAGGTGAAGCAGGTTTTGAATGAACTTTATTCCTGGGACTAGAAATCACTTTGCTTACTCATTGCATAACTTGAAGCACTGGGTAAATTGAGCATTAACCTTAGGGCACCTCCTATTACCCTTTGTGCTTTCATTTTCTGTATAATGGTGATAAAGTCTTTGAAAACCCTTGCCTGTTTCAGCACATCCCTGCCCTCTGAAACTACCTTCTCATCATCATTTGTTTCTGCCCCATTTTTTTTCTTCCACTGTTGACCTGAATGAGTCTATAAAAAACCTCCAACAGATTCAATATTCCATTTAAGCAACTTGCCTATTATTTTTAATTCTGTATTAATAAATATCCTGGGCCTTGATAGAATAAGAAATGATTTGGAGCTAAAATATGACACAAATGACTGTTAGCCTAATTTTTACTGAGTTATTTTGACTGAAATCCTATAGTCTCAATCTCCACTTTCTGACATTACTCTTAACGTTCCCATCTTCCTTGTCATACACGATGGGCCAATAAAGTTCTCTGTGTAATTTTCTAAGGTTTTTGCCAACTAATTTCCTGATATCTTCCACATTCTTCCAAAAGGCAACATTCTCAGGTTCTACCTAGCTACAAATCACTGTGGGTGTTACATTTTTTGTTCTAACTTGCTTTTATCCTGCTGTGATTAAAGCCTCTAACCAGAAACATATCAGGCAATGAATGGGTTTATTTGGCTGATTGTATCAGATCACACTCCATCACCTTGGGAGATCAGGATAAAAACTTATGCTAACAATTGAAGGCAAAACCCACAGGCAAAGATTGCTTTCTGGTGTTCTCTCTTGCCAGTAACTGTCTCATGCTCAGTTAGCTCCCTTTTCTAGCCCAGGCCCACTTTCTTAGGGTTATTGTCACTGTAAGGAACATGTAAGACCTAGGGTGAACATGAGTGATAAGCAATAGAATGACTTAAATAAACCACAATTGGAGTAGTGATAAGCTATAAGCTATGTGTGGAAGTAGGGATAAGACTAGAAACCTAACCAGAAAAGGATATAAAAATGAAGCTTCAGACCTGACCAACAGAGCTCCTCAGACCCTTGCATGAGATGTGAGATCCTGTTCCCAGTGCAGACATGGCTGACTGGAGAAAAGCTGACCCAAGATCCCTAGGAACAGATGTGGGGAGTCTGGACCTGTACACCTGGAGAAGCACTCCCACTTTCATTTGAAAGACAGGATAAATATTGCTTGTAATCTTACTGTGTGAATAAATGAGTGTTATACCAAGTCTGATTCAAGAGTGATTATTCTTCCCCTGTAACGGGTATGTTCTTGCTTCAGTCACCATTTATGTGGAATAGCCATTCCTGCTACCCTAGGTGGAGGAGCATTCTCATTTCAACCATCAATCAGCAAAATCTCTCACAGACATAACAGTGTCTGGCTAGTATAATTAAAGTCACTATCAACCTAGTTGAGCAATTGTCCTTGTAGTAGGGTGGAGGACCATCATTTGGGTATATGCTTAAGCTGGGTCTTGATGTAGATTGACGACCCATTTTCAGTGGACTGCATATTTATTTTTCACAGTGGCAGTACAAGTTTCCAATTGTTAAAGCAGTGACTCCCCTTGCTCTCTGTCCTTGCCAGCATTAGCTATCACTTGTATTATTGATCTTCCCATTCTGACAGATATAAAATGAAATCTCTAAGGAGTTTTAATATGCATTTGCTTGATGGCTAAGAATGTTGAACATTTCTTCAAGTGTTTCTCAGCAACTTTAGATTCCTCTACTGAGAATTCTGTTTAGAGGTATTTCCCTTTATAAATGGATTATTTGGTTTGATGTTGTCAAGATTCTTTAGTTTTTTATTATCCTGAGTGAGTCAAACATGGTCTGACAAACATGGTATGTACTCACTTATAAGTGGATGTTACTAGTTCAGTAAAGTACAATCATAGTAATCACATTTAAGCACAGTACAATCCATAGATGCTACGAGGCTAAATAAGAAACAATTGCCCTAGGAAAGATTTGCGTCTCTCCCTTGGAAGAGGAAATGGAATAGACTTTTTGGGTGCACTCATGGCAAGTATGGATGTGGACAGGAAGGATCAGGTGAGTAAGGAAGAGATAAAGGGGTAGAAGGTCGGGAGAGATAACTGGAATAGGGGGGCTTTTAGCAGGGGTTATGAAAATAGTGCAGTGTAAACATCCTGGAACCTGGGCTGGAGAGATGGCTCAGTGTTCAAGAGCACCAACTGCTCTTCCAGAGGTCCTGAGTTCAATTCCCGGCAACAACATGGTGGCTCACAACCACTTGTAATGAGATCTGGTGCCCTCGTCTGGCCTGCAGTGACACATGCAGGCAGAATACTGTATACATAATAAATCTTAAAAAAAAAAACATCTTGGAACCTATAAGGGTGACCCTAGCTAGAACTCCAAACAATTAAGAATATGGAGGCTGAACTAGCAATTTTCTGTAACTACATAAGGCTCCAGTGATGGAACTGAGACACTAAGCCAGCCACAGAAGATTCAACTGAAACTTGGGTTGCCTATAATGTATGCTGGGTTAAGGGTGCCAGACCACCAGCACATGAAATTTTCACACTCCCTCCATTTCAATTAGTCTAGTCTGTCTTTTTCCCCAATGCTTCAATTAGTAAATGCTTAGAAATTACAAAATCACTCCTTCTACTATTATCAGGTCCTGTTTTTTTAAAATAATGTTGACTTCAGCAGCTTATTATCTACCCTGTTTTTCCCAGTTATGTGCACAATAAACTCTTCCTTCTATTCTGGTCTGAAGGCTGAAACCATGCTCCAAATGCAAGTCCTTTTCCTTTTACAACAATGGATAATAAATTGGATGACTCAAATGGGCAGTTTTTAAACCTAGAGATGATACAATCATTCAATTTAAGATTTTGCAGCTGTAATATAGAGGACAGCAAGATCACTGACCTGGAGAGCAACAGACTGGGACCACAGCCATTTGTGTCAACCTAAGAGAGCTTGTGTCAGAAATATTTTTCTAAAAAGATTAAAATGCAAGTGTCCTAAAATCTATATGCCTTCCAAGGGAGAAATCACTCCACACACTTAAGAGATTAATAAGGAAAAACTTCTTTAATGAAAGCATGCATCCATCTCTGGCTAATGTTCAAAGAGGAGCCATCCTAGAAGAGTCTTGCATTCCACATATATACTATCATCATTGTGACATTTGGATTCAGGCTCCAGATAACAATTTAAGTATTTAAATTGGGACCAAATACTGCAAGTCTAACCACTAAGACAGATGTGAGACTTGCACAGCAAAGACATTCTCCAAATTATTTCTTAAATAAGCCAGTGATATGAAACAGTAGAATCTTCTTCAGGGACAGGTTTCTGAGGTGAGGTGGATAAAAGGAGAGAAAAAGAATGAGGCAGAAAAGATAAAAGCTTGGGTTAGGAGGTCTTATACAATCTATGCCTCATGTCAACTAAGCTCGTTTTTTTAAAGGATTTATTTATTTATCATCTATCTATCTTTTATTTATTATTTATTTATTCATTTATTATGCATCATACAGCATCCTGACTGCATGTATGCACGCAGGCCAGAAGAGAGCACCAAGTCTCATTATAGATAGTTGTGAGCCACAATGTAGTTGGTGGGAATTGAACTCAGGACCTCTGGAAGAGTAGTAGCCAGTGCCCTTAACCTCTAAGCCATTTCTCTAGAATCAAACTAAGTTTCTTAAGACTTATTCTTCTTAAGAAGAACAGCAACTTGTATACTACTTCCAGATGGGAAATTGAAGGAAATGGATGACTTTTATGAAGTCAGCAGAAACTATCACACAATGGAACAAACTCATGATCTGAGCAACCCCACCACAAAGGCCCTAGCCCTAGACCATTACCAGCTCTCCAAAGCATATTTCTGGCTTTAGGGATGGAGCTATTCTATTGTCAATACATCAGACCTGTAGGGAAAGCTCCCAAGGCCCACTTCCTAGGTTTTAATTACCTTCCCAAGAATTTTCATCCTCCCTGTCTGAGGGCATAAAGGAAAGCCTTGCTTCATCAGACAACTCTGTAACACAATAGTGGTTTCCATTTCCTTTATTTATTTATTTATTTATTTATTTATTTATTTATTTATTTATTTTTTTTTTTTTTGTTTTTTGAGACAGGGTTTCTCCATGTAGTTTTTGGTGCCAGTCCTGGATCTCAATCTGTAGACCAGGGTGGCCTTGAAGAAATCACAGAGATCCACAGGCTCTGCCTCTAAAGTGCTGTGATTAAAGGAATGAACCACCACCACCCAGCTCTACATTTCCTTTTCCTTTTTCTTTTTCTTTCTTT